CTTAGAGATAATGACAAAAACAGACTAAAAATCAAAGGTTGGAAAAAGATATATCAAGCAAATGGCAACTGTAAGAGAGCAGGAGTGGCAATATTAATTTCTGATCAAATTGACTTTGCATAACCTTAATACCAAAACCAGGAAAAGACTGTGATTCCTTGCCTCATGCACGTGTATGGGTCGATAAGAGATGTTAGCAGAGTGGAAGTAATTAATGACACCCACTTCTAGGGGCAGGTGAGGCTCAGGAGAGCATGGCCCAAGATGAGAGGGTGGCCTCGGACCCTCAGATGGCCCGTCCTGCTGTTCACTTGAGCCCCTCCTGCTGCCCCATGCTTCCAAGGGCCACTGGCTTATTGCATACCATGGGGTTGGTGTGGGGTCGTGAAGAGCCACGGGGTCTTTGTTACCTGGGTGGCTGGCAAGAGCAGGATTGTGTTGCCCCATGGTTTTGGAGGCTGGGGGTGTGAGTTCAGGCACTGGCAGAGCTATGGTCCGTCCATTCCAGCTCTGCCCCATCTCTCAGCTTCTGGAAGCCCCCGACATTTCTTGGTTTATAGATATCCTTACATGGAGTCGTCCCCTGTGGGGGTCTCTCTGTGTGACCCCTGTTAGGTGTTGCTTAGTTGATCTTTACGGCAGCATTTGGCCAATGGGTGAGTTCACACCACCAACTTTTGTTTAGTGCCGATCCCTTAACTGTCGCACCACTGCTGGACTCCCCTTTATAAGACACCACTAAGAAGAGGTTAGGTTTAGACCAGTCCTACTCTAGTTTACCTCACTGAAGAAAACAGAAAAACCCTACTGCTATCCAGTCGATTCCAACACATAGTGACATGATAGGACAGAGTAGAGCTGCTCCATAGGGTTTCCAAGGCTGTAAATCTTTATGGAAACAGACTGCTTCATCTTTTTCCCATAGAGCAGCTGGTGGGTTCAAATCACCAGCCTTTCAGTTAACTGCTGAATGCCATAACCACAGTGCCACCAGAGCACCTATGACCTTGTTAGCATAATAGTGAAATTCTTTTTTCAAACAGGGTCATGCTCAGAGGTACTTGACAGGGGTGAGGCCCTCAACATGTTGTTGTTGTTAGATGCTGTTGAGTTGACTCATAGCGGCCCTACATACCACACAACAAAACACTGCCCGGTCCTGTGCCAGCCTCACAATCCTTACTATACCTGAGCCCATTGCTGCAGCCACTATGTCAATCCATCTCATGGAAGGCCTTCCCCTCTTTCATCGACCCTCCACCTTCCCAAGCATGACATCCTTCTTCAGGGAATGGTCCCTTCTGACAACATGACCAAAGTAGGTGAGATGAAGTCCGGCCATTCTCGCTTCCAAGGAACATTCTGGCTGCACTTCTTCCAGGACAGATTTGTTAGTTCTTCTAGCAGTCCATGGTACTTTCAGCATTCTTCACCAGCACCACGACTCAAAAGCATCAATTCCTCTTCGGGCTTCCTTATTCATTGTCCAGCTCTCACATGCACAGGAGGTGATTGAAAATATCATGGCTTGGGTTAGGTGCATCTTGGTCTTCCAAGTAAAACCAAAGATATCTTTGCTCTTCAGCACTTGAAAGAAGTCTTTTGCAGCAGATTTGCTCAGTGCAATACAATGTCTGATTTCTTGACTTCAACAGGGTAGCTACTGAGGTGTGTGTGTGCAGGTGGGGGACAGACCGTACCATGTGACACGTCAGAGGGGGTGATACCAGAATGACTGTCTATATAAAATTTTAGTGCAGTGTTTCAGCAGAAATTGATTATTTTAATAAAAATATATCCCTTTAGTTGTTGTGGTTAGGTGCCATCGAGTCATGTCTGACTCATAGCCACCCTGTGCACAGCAGAATGAAACACCGCCTGGTCTTGTGCCAGCCTCACAATCCTTGTTATACCTGAGCCCTATAGTTATAACAACAAAAATTTTTTTTTTTTAAAGCCTGATATACCTATAAGGCTAAACTCTATGCAAAGTGGGAGCTCTGGCTGGTGCAGTGTGTGAGGCATTTGACTGCTAACCAGAAGGTTAGTGATCAAACCCACCAGCTATTCTGCAGGTGGAAGATGAGGTAATCTTCTTCCGTGAAGATTTACCACCTTGGAAACCCATTGGGGGTTGCTATGAATTGAAATTGACTTGATGGCAGTGGGTTTGGTTTTGGTTTTAATGTGCTCTTATAGGAGCTCTGGTGGCACAATGGTTAAAACACTTACTTGACTGGCCACCAAAAGGTTGGTGGTTTGAAACCATCAGCCACTCCATGGGAGAAAGATGTGACAGTTGGCTTCTATAAAGATGACAGTCATGGAAACCCCTATGGGCAGTTCTATTCTGCCCTCTAGGGGCACCATGAGTCTGAATTGACTTCACTGCAGTGGGTGTGGTTTGGGCTTTGCTTCCTTAAAGACTGACAGCTTTGGAAACCCTGTGGGGCAGTTCCACTCTGTTCTTTAGAGGCACGGTGGGTCAGAATGGACTCCACGGCAGCGGGTGTGGTTCGGGCTTTGCTTCCTTAAAGACTGACAACCTTGGAAACTCTGTGGGCAGTTCCACTCATCCTCTAGGGGCGCTGTTAGTTGGAATCGATTCCACCGCAGTGGGTTTGCTTTGTGTTTTTGTTGTTCACAGGGAACCAAAGGGATAGAAACTCACTGGCAGCACTTTTGCCGTGAAGAGATCGCCCACTTAGTCAGTCACAGTGTCATACGTACGCGGTCTCCTGTGAGGAATTCTTGATGGACTTTGGAGCCAGGACGCACTGTATCTCTTGATCTGTTTATATAGCATCCTGCCGCCAGAGAATTCCTGGTTTCGCTCTGCGCGTAGGACACTTTGCCACAATGTGGCCGCCTGACCTGTGTGGACTTCTCTGGGGCCCAGGAAAGGCATTTGCCTCTAAACAGCCTTTGTCCTGTCTTGTTACTGAAAGTCTTACTTTGAACTTCTTTCAACTTACATGCCAGCTGCCTCCAGTCACCTGAAAGGACCAAAACTCAAACCACACCAAAGCAAACCCACTGCCACCGAGTCGGTTCCCACTCATAGTGCCCCCATGGGGTTTCCGAGGCTGTAACTCTTGGCAGAAACTGAGTGCCTCGTCTTGCTTCTGCAGAGCACTGGTGGGCCTGAACCACCAACCTCTTGGTTAGCGGCCGAATGCCTTTGTCACTGCACCACCAAAGTTCCTTCCTTGGAAGGAAGCTGGAGATGAAGCATTAACAAAAGAAAAAGATTGGAGGGCGGTTTGCTCTTAGGCGCCCACGGAAATCAGGGAACTCCGTAGACTCAGGTCTTAACATGGAGTTGGGACGGTGAGGAGGAGAGCATCATGTCATTGGCTGTCCCCTGTCCCCACAGTGCACCCAAGGACAGCTGGGTTTGGGCTGTCTCTGTCATAGCCCTGAGCGTTTTGGACAGTGCTTACAATCACATTCCTTGTAATGTTTTGGTTTGAAATATAATCTTGAGATCTCTTCACATCACTCACATCTTCTCTTTAAAAATGGCAGGATGCATCGCACATGGCTTAGCTGGTGTATTAGTTCATGGAAGTGCACAGTGGTGTGAGTCTCCTGCTGCCGCCGGAACAAAGTTCCACCGTCTGAGGGGCTTCTGAGAACAGAAACACATTCTCTCACAGGCTGGAGGCTGGGAGTCTGAGCAGGGTGGCCATGTTGATTCCTGTGAGGCTCTCAGGGAGGGCCTGCTGCGGACCTCTGTCCCGGCTCCTGGGGTGGCTGGCACCCTGTGGCCGTCATGTTTACAGCATCCCTCCAGTCTCCGCCTCCACCTTCCTGGTACCATCTTCCTTCTGTGTCTGTCTGTCTCTGTGTCATCTTTCCTCTTCTGTGATAATGGCATTCGCAGGACTAGGACCCACACTGTGATGGCCTTGTGGTAACCTAACATCTGCAAACACCCCATTTCCGATCAAGGCCACCTTCATGGGGCAGAGGGTTAGAACTTCAGCATATCTTTGTGGGGGACAGAGTTCAAGCCACAATGACAGTTCAAGGGTTTGTGTTAGTCATGACTCCGCCCCCCCCACTGGCTCCACCCCTTCTCACTTCCCCTACCTCGTGAGACTCCACCTCCCACACTGGCTCCGCCCCTCTCTACCTCCCCAACTTCATGAGGTGGGGGAGGTGAGGCAGGACTGAGCAGGTGTGGTGGGCGGAGTCCACTTCTTGGCGTGGTGAGTTGTGTGTTGGAGTCCCGAGGACAGGCAGGTGTGGATTGTTGGAAAACAGAGCAGCATCCCCCACCGTGGACATCCCCCACGTGTGTACCTCCATAGGAGGGGGGTTCTTGTCTCTTTTGAACATGGCTGACTTCCCAGTGCTTGACCCAGTAGGTGGTCACAGACAGCAGCTGAGTGAATGAATGAGTGGGAGAGGGGTGGCCAATCATCGAGGCTGAAGAGATGGCTTGGAGAGAAAAGAGAAGACCAGCAAGTGGCCCCAGTGCCACCAACAAAGAAGAGCCAGGAGCAGAGTGTGTCCTTTGGACCCGGGGACCCTGCTCTGAGACGCTGCCAGTCACAGGGGATACTGATGTCAAACACATCAAGCCAAGGAGCGCAGGGCCCACAGGAGTTGGAAGGAGACAGTGGCCTCCTCTGGAGCCAAGAGTCAGAGAAAGCCCCCCGCCCCGAGCTGGCACACTGACTTCAGACCTCTAGCCTCCTAAGCCGTGAGCGGATCCATTTCTGCTTGTTAAAGCCAAAATAAATAAAAGGAGGAAGGGAAAGACGGTGGCCCAGACATGCGCTGGTAGGTAGATCACTGTAGCCATGGTGTGATGCCCAGTGCCCTAGGGGGTACAGAGAAGCCCAAGACAGTGTGTGTAATGTTTGTGGTACCGGATGGAGGACGAGTGGTGCTGTAGGGGCCTGCGGTGCAGGTGAAGGGCTTGGGGCGTACCTGTAAGCCGGTGGGTACAGCCTCAAGGTCTCTGCGATCACCATGCCCAGGTAGGGCAGGCCTTCCTGGAGGCTGCAGTAGTCGGGGGCGGCCTAAAGGAGAGAACGGGACACAGAAGAACATTGTGTTAGAGCGAGCCTCACAGCGTTGTCTTTTTCAGTAACTTTCAACTTGGAGTCTAGCTCTAGCTTCCACCAACATTCAAGTGGAAACCCATCAGCGTGAGAAGTAGCTGCAAGCCACGTGACATGGGGCTGGACTTCAGTCTCTGATACACTTCCCCGCACCGTGCTAGAATGTTACTGCAAACCAGGGGGCACTGCCAGGAACTAGGGATCTCTGGAGGTAGCGTGGGGATGTTTGGTGATGAAACACACAAATTGTTGCAGTTGTTGG